TTTATTCTCTCCTGGATAAACGTAGCTGGCAAGATGCACCTTCTTAACGTTGCAGTGGTTGTAGTCTTGGGTAAGTCTTCTTCCTAAGCTTTGTAACAATCAACTGTACTAGTATTGCTGAGTTTCTAAAGTGGCTTTGCAATTACGCTGCCAACATTAGGATTAGCATAGTTTGTACATTGGTGCCAACGTTTATCAGGGTTGGAAAAGGAATGTTCTCTGTAGGAATCCTGTCACTTATGACCACTTATGCATCATTTGATTTCTTTCCATTCTTCACAGTCTTCCTTGGGTCCGCCCTTGCTGGCCATGGTGGTGGTGGTGGCGGCGGCCATGGAGGCGGAGGCCATGGAGGTGGTGGCCATGGAGGTGGAGGCCATGGTGGTGGAGGCCATGGTGGTGGTGGTGGTGGTGGTCACGGAGGTGGTGGTCACGGAGGCGGAGGACACGGAGGTGGCGGCCATGGAGGTGGTCATGGAGGTGGTGGTCATGGAGGTGGAGGCCATGGAGGTGGTGGTCATGGAGGCGGACACCACGGGTAAAACATCCGAGGATCATCATATTGCCATCAGATGCTGGACATTTGATATCGTATTGGTCGATTCCACTCACTGTGATGTATCCACCCAATCTGTATATTCCTCATTGAATACAAATAAAGCTTTGAGTTATATTGTAATGCTATCTTTGTTTATATTTTCCTCCAGTACAATCAGATTCAAGACTGGAAAGTAAGAAAGGAAACTATCTGATAACACTGTCCTGCATACTATAATCACACTGGAATCATTGCCCACAAAGGTCAGGAGCATCGAAGAGATGCAAGTACTCTTATAAACACGTTGAAGCAAGCAAGTAGACTATTTCTGTCCCAAAATGTAGAAAGTCCCATTTGAAGTCAGACTATCATAATTGATTCAAAAGGTCCAAATAGTTTATAGTTACAGCCATGTGCATGTCCCGATACAACAAATTACATGTGTCTCAATGCACCCATGAAATGACGTTTACGTTAAGGGTTTATACACATCTCCAGTAATACAATGATTCGTTCTCAAGACAGCCAACTTCAAAACGATTGCAGTTGGTTTATTGTTTTGGGGGTTTGTTTGTTTGTTTGTTTCAAGAGTCCAGAGAAATATAAATGTTGAGGAAGCAGATTTCCTCTCAGATGGCCTCAGACAGTAGTTACGTACCCCTACGTTTTACCATGGCCCGACAGATAAATAGGAGAATATAATCCCCTATTTGAATGGAGTTTTGAGCGAGTAACATATATTTCTGAGTAACGTTTGACAGCTTTAATACAAGATTCGACATTGTACTTTGATAATAACATATGTTATTACCAAATGTGTATTGATATTTACTCCAGCTTCTCATTATTTGAGTCCCAGATGAAAGGCGAAGGGTTCTATACACAGATACACACAGACGCACACAAGCACACACAAGCAGACATAGACGGAAACACACTTGCACACGCACACACAACGCACGCACGCACGCACGTGCGCGCACTCTAACACTTGCATTAACACATCCTGACTGGAGTTAGCTCCTTTCCAAAGGAATAGTTGCAGGGTTGACGTGATGTATTCCACGCCTTTAATTGTTACGAGTCAGAAAACTAGAGTGTGGGCCGTTACAGAGCATAAATCCTCACCCTTCTTCCTGCTGTATTTTGGGACCCCTACATCTATTGAGGACGTCCCAGCCAACCAATGCTCTCTTTACTTCCGGGTCAGTATCACGACAGAATATACATAGCATCAGTTCTTGAGAAACTCAGATGGATTTCTTTTCCATGTAATCAGTTGCCCTAATTGTAAGTGTTGCCCCATTTGAACCGTAATTTATGATTTGCTAGAACTAGAACAAAGAAGTTGCTCTCATTACAGTAAATAATGGGACTTTGAAATCACGAAAGGTAGGAATTCAAGTTTTGAAATTATAACTCAAGCTAGAAAAACAACAAGACTTCACATCAACTTTCATTATGAATAAGTAGCTTGCCATGGAGTTTGCTTTAAAAGACGTATTTGACATACGTTGATCAAGTTTCTTGACTCATAGTAATGGTAGCTTACTCTAATTACTACCTGCACTCAACGAAATACTGCAGGCAGACATTTACTCCTCATTTCATGACTTTTCTCTCCATTCGTATTTTTCACCAGCCGTCTGTAGCTGTAATTGCATTCCATGAACCATCAAATCTATCATGCTTTTCGGCAGTGAGCTTAGCCACGGGATGCCAGGTTAGGTCACAAATGCACAGATGTCTTTTTCTATTTATGCAGGAAGATATGCATCATATAGAGAGGCAGGTGAGATCGTCCCATGTGTTATTACATAATATGATTCATCCTTCACGCTCTAAGAGTGTAAAAGTCGTCTTGGAATTTAATTTTCGCAAAATCTTCCAATGTGGGCATTTATATTCAACATCCTGATTTCCTGTACAATAGGTATATAAGCTGTAGTCAATCACAAAAGCGACATTCAAATCGTTTATTCTCTCCTGGATAAACGTAGCTGGCAAGATGCACCTTCTTAACGTTGCAGTGGTTGTAGTCTTGGGTAAGTCTTCTTCCTAAGCTTTGTAACAATCAACTGTACTAGTATTGCTGAGTTTCTAAAGTGGCTTTGCAATTACGCTGCCAACATTAGGATTAGCATAGTTTGTACATTGGTGCCAACGTTTATCAGGGTTGGAAAAGGAATGTTCTCTGTAGGAATCCTGTCACTTATGACCACTTATGCATCATTTGATTTCTTTCCATTCTTCACAGTCTTCCTTGGGTCCGCCCTTGCTGGCCATGGTGGTGGTGGTGGCGGCGGCCATGGAGGTGGAGGCGGTGGCCATGGAGGTGGTGGCCATGGAGGTGGAGGCCATGGTGGTGGAGGCCATGGTGGTGGTGGTGGTGGTGGTCACGGAGGTGGTGGTCACGGAGGCGGAGGACACGGAGGTGGCGGCCATGGAGGTGGTCATGGAGGTGGTGGTCATGGAGGTGGAGGCCATGGAGGTGGTGGTCATGGAGGCGGACACCACGGGTAAAACATCCGAGGATCATCATATTGCCATCAGATGCTGGACATTTGATATCGTATTGGTCGATTCCACTCACTGTGATGTATCCACCCAATCTGTATATTCCTCATTGAATACAAATAAAGCTTTGAGTTATATTGTAATGCTATCTTTGTTTATATTTTCCTCCAGTACAATCAGATTCAAGACTGGAAAGTAAGAAAGGAAACTATCTGATAACACTGTCCTGCATACTATAATCACACTGGAATCATTGCCCACAAAGGTCAGGAGCATCGAAGAGATGCAAGTACTCTTATAAACACGTTGAAGCAAGCAAGTAGACTATTTCTGTCCCAAAATGTAGAAAGTCCCATTTGAAGTCAGACTATCATAATTGATTCAAAAGGTCCAAATAGTTTATAGTTACAGCCATGTGCATGTCCCGATACAACAAATTACATGTGTCTCAATGCACCCATGAAATGACGTTTACGTTAAGGGTTTATACACATCTCCAGTAATACAATGATTCGTTCTCAAGACAGCCAACTTCAAAACGATTGCAGTTGGTTTATTGTTTTGGGGGTTTGTTTGTTTGTTTGTTTCAAGAGTCCAGAGAAATATAAATGTTGAGGAAGCAGATTTCCTCTCAGATGGCCTCAGACAGTAGTTACGTACCCCTACGTTTTACCATGGCCCGACAGATAAATAGGAGAATATAATCCCCTATTTGAATGGAGTTTTGAGCGAGTAACATATATTTCTGAGTAACGTTTGACAGCTTTAATACAAGATTCGACATTGTACTTTGATAATAACATATGTTATTACCAAATGTGTATTGATATTTACTCCAGCTTCTCAGTATTTGAGTCCCAGATGAAAGGCGAAGGGTTCTATACACAGATACACACAGACGCACACAAGCACACACAAGCAGACATAGACGGAAACACACTTGCACACACACAAGCACGCACGCACGCACGCACGTGCGCGCACTCTAACACTTGCATTAACACATCCTGACTGGAGTTAGCTCCTTTCCAAAGGAATAGTTGCAGGGTTGACGTGATGTATTCCACGCCTTTAATTGTTACGAGTCAGAAAACTAGAGTGTGGGCCGTTACAGAGCATAAATCCTCACCCTTCTTCCTGCTGTATTTTGGGACCCCTACATCTATTGAGGACGTCCCAGCCAACCAATGCTCTCTTTACTTCCGGGTCAGTATCACGACAGAATATACATAGCATCAGTTCTTGAGAAACTCAGATGGATTTCTTTTCCATGTAATCAGTTGCCCTAATTGTAAGTGTTGCCCCATTTGAACCGTAATTTATGATTTGCTAGAACTAGAACAAAGAAGTTGCTCTCATTACAGTAAATAATGGGACTTTGAAATCACGAAAGGTAGGAATTCAAGTTTTGAAATTATAACTCAAGCTAGAAAAACAACAAGACTTCACATCAACTTTCATTATGAATAAGTAGCTTGCCATGGAGTTTGCTTTAAAAGACGTATTTGACATACGTTGATCAAGTTTCTTGACTCATAGTAATGGTAGCTTACTCTAATTACTACCTGCACTCAACGAAATACTGCAGGCAGACATTTACTCCTCATTTCATGACTTTTCTCTCCATTCGTATTTTTCACCAGCCGTCTGTAGCTGTAATTGCATTCCATGAACCATCAAATCTATCATGCTTTTCGGCAGTGAGCTTAGCCACGGGATGCCAGGTTAGGTCACAAATGCACAGATGTCTTTTTCTATTTATGCAGGAAGATATGCATCATATAGAGAGGCAGGTGAGATCGTCCCATGTGTTATTACATAATATGATTCATCCTTCACGCTCTAAGAGTGTAAAAAGTCGTCTTGGAATTTAATTTTCGCAAAATCTTCCAATGTGGGCATTTATATTCAACATCCTGATTTCCTGTACAATAGGTATATAAGCTGTAGTCAATCACAAAAGCGACATTCAAATCGTTTATTCTCTCCTGGATAAACGTAGCTGGCAAGATGCACCTTCTTAACGTTGCAGTGGTTGTAGTCTTGGGTAAGTCTTCTTCCTAAGCTTTGTAACAATCAACTGTACTAGTATTGCTGAGTTTCTAAAGTGGCTTTGCAATTACGCTGCCAACATTAGGATTAGCATAGTTTGTACATTGGTGCCAACGTTTATCAGGGTTGGAAAAGGAATGTTCTCTGTAGGAATCCTGTCACTTATGACCACTTATGCATCATTTGATTTCTTTCCATTCTTCACAGTCTTCCTTGGGTCCGCCCTTGCTGGCCATGGTGGTGGTGGTGGCGGCGGCCATGGAGGCGGAGGCCATGGAGGTGGTGGCCATGGAGGTGGAGGCCATGGTGGTGGAGGCCATGGTGGTGGTGGTGGTGGTGGTCACGGAGGTGGTGGTCACGGAGGCGGAGGACACGGAGGTGGCGGCCATGGAGGTGGTCATGGAGGTGGTGGTCATGGAGGTGGAGGCCATGGAGGTGGTGGTCATGGAGGCGGACACCACGGGTAAAACATCCGAGGATCATCATATTGCCATCAGATGCTGGACATTTGATATCGTATTGGTCGATTCCACTCACTGTGATGTATCCACCCAATCTGTATATTCCTCATTGAATACAAATAAAGCTTTGAGTTATATTGTAATGCTATCTTTGTTTATATTTTCCTCCAGTACAATCAGATTCAAGACTGGAAAGTAAGAAAGGAAACTATCTGATAACACTGTCCTGCATACTATAATCACACTGGAATCATTGCCCACAAAGGTCAGGAGCATCGAAGAGATGCAAGTACTCTTATAAACACGTTGAAGCAAGCAAGTAGACTATTTCTGTCCCAAAATGTAGAAAGTCCCATTTGAAGTCAGACTATCATAATTGATTCAAAAGGTCCAAATAGTTTATAGTTACAGCCATGTGCATGTCCCGATACAACAAATTACATGTGTCTCAATGCACCCATGAAATGACGTTTACGTTAAGGGTTTATACACATCTCCAGTAATACAATGATTCGTTCTCAAGACAGCCAACTTCAAAACGATTGCAGTTGGTTTATTGTTTTGGGGTTTGTTTGTTTGTTTGTTTCAAGAGTCCAGAGAAATATAAATGTTGAGGAAGCAGATTTCCTCTCAGATGGCCTCAGACAGTAGTTACGTACCCCTACGTTTTACCATGGCCCGACAGATAAATAGGAGAATATAATCCCCTATTTGAATGGAGTTTTGAGCGAGTAACATATATTTCTGAGTAACGTTTGACAGCTTTAATACAAGATTCGACATTGTACTTTGATAATAACATATGTTATTACCAAATGTGTATTGATATTTACTCCAGCTTCTCAGTATTTGAGTCCCAGATGAAAGGCGAAGGGTTCTATACACAGATACACACAGACGCACACAAGCACACACAAGCAGACATAGACGGAAACACACTTGCACACGCACACACACACGCACGCACGCACGCACGCACGTGCGCGCACTCTAACACTTGCATTAACACATCCTGACTGGAGTTAGCTCCTTTCCAAAGGAATAGTTGCAGGGTTGACGTGATGTATTCCACGCCTTTAATTGTTACGAGTCAGAAAACTAGAGTGTGGGCCGTTACAGAGCATAAATCCTCACCCTTCTTCCTGCTGTATTTTGGGACCCCTACATCTATTGAGGACGTCCCAGCCAACCAATGCTCTCTTTACTTCCGGGTCAGTATCACGACAGAATATACATAGCATCAGTTCTTGAGAAACTCAGATGGATTTCTTTTCCATGTAATCAGTTGCCCTAATTGTAAGTGTTGCCCCATTTGAACCGTAATTTATGATTTGCTAGAACTAGAACAAAGAAGTTGCTCTCATTACAGTAAATAATGGGACTTTGAAATCACGAAAGGTAGGAATTCAAGTTTTGAAATTATAACTCAAGCTAGAAAAACAACAAGACTTCACATCAACTTTCATTATGAATAAGTAGCTTGCCATGGAGTTTGCTTTAAAAGACGTATTTGACATACGTTGATCAAGTTTCTTGACTCATAGTAATGGTAGCTTACTCTAATTACTACCTGCACTCAACGAAATACTGCAGGCAGACATTTACTCCTCATTTCATGACTTTTCTCTCCATTCGTATTTTCACCAGCCGTCTGTAGCTGTAATTGCATTCCATGAACCATCAAATCTATCATGCTTTTCGGCAGTGAGCTTAGCCACGGGATGCCAGGTTAGGTCACAAATGCACAGATGTCTTTTTCTATTTATGCAGGAAGATATGCATCATATAGAGAGGCAGGTGAGATCGTCCCATGTGTTATTACATAATATGATTCATCCTTCACGCTCTAAGAGTGTAAAAAGTCGTCTTGGAATTTAATTTTCGCAAAATCTTCCAATGTGGGCATTTATATTCAACATCCTGATTTCCTGTACAATAGGTATATAAGCTGTAGTCAATCACAAAAGCGACATTCAAATCGTTTATTCTCTCCTGGATAAACGTAGCTGGCAAGATGCACCTTCTTAACGTTGCAGTGGTTGTAGTCTTGGGTAAGTCTTCTTCCTAAGCTTTGTAACAATCAACTGTACTAGTATTGCTGAGTTTCTAAAGTGGCTTTGCAATTACGCTGCCAACATTAGGATTAGCATAGTTTGTACATTGGTGCCAACGTTTATCAGGGTTGGAAAAGGAATGTTCTCTGTAGGAATCCTGTCACTTATGACCACTTATGCATCATTTGATTTCTTTCCATTCTTCACAGTCTTCCTTGGGTCCGCCCTTGCTGGCCATGGTGGTGGTGGTGGCGGCGGCCATGGAGGCGGAGGCCATGGAGGTGGTGGCCATGGAGGTGGAGGCCATGGTGGTGGAGGCCATGGTGGTGGTGGTGGTGGTGGTCACGGAGGTGGTGGTCACGGAGGCGGAGGCCATGGAGGTGGTCATGGAGGTGGCGGCCATGGAGGTGGTCATGGAGGTGGTGGTCATGGAGGTGGAGGCCATGGAGGTGGTGGTCATGGAGGCGGACACCACGGGTAAAACATCCGAGGATCATCATATTGCCATCAGATGCTGGACATTTGATATCGTATTGGTCGATTCCACTCACTGTGATGTATCCACCCAATCTGTATATTCCTCATTGAATACAAATAAAGCTTTGAGTTATATTGTAATGCTATCTTTGTTTATATTTTCCTCCAGTACAATCAGATTCAAGACTGGAAAGTAAGAAAGGAAACTATCTGATAACACTGTCCTGCATACTATAATCACACTGGAATCATTGCCCACAAAGGTCAGGAGCATCGAAGAGATGCAAGTACTCTTATAAACACGTTGAAGCAAGCAAGTAGACTATTTCTGTCCCAAAATGTAGAAAGTCCCATTTGAAGTCAGACTATCATAATTGATTCAAAAGGTCCAAATAGTTTATAGTTACAGCCATGTGCATGTCCCGATACAACAAATTACATGTGTCTCAATGCACCCATGAAATGACGTTTACGTTAAGGGTTTATACACATCTCCAGTAATACAATGATTCGTTCTCAAGACAGCCAACTTCAAAACGATTGCAGTTGGTTTATTGTTTTGGGGGTTTGTTTGTTTGTTTGTTTCAAGAGTCCAGAGAAATATAAATGTTGAGGAAGCAGATTTCCTCTCAGATGGCCTCAGACAGTAGTTACGTACCCCTACGTTTTACCATGGCCCGACAGATAAATAGGAGAATATAATCCCCTATTTGAATGGAGTTTTGAGCGAGTAACATATATTTCTGAGTAACGTTTGACAGCTTTAATACAAGATTCGACATTGTACTTTGATAATAACATATGTTATTACCAAATGTGTATTGATATTTACTCCAGCTTCTCAGTATTTGAGTCCCAGATGAAAGGCGAAGGGTTCTATACACAGATACACACAGACGCACACAAGCACACACAAGCAGACATAGACGGAAACACACTTGCACACGCACACACACACGCACACGCACGCACGCGCGCGCGCACTCTAACACTTGCATTAACACATCCTGACTGGAGTTAGCTCCTTTCCAAAGGAATAGTTGCAGGGTTGACGTGATGTATTCCACGCCTTTAATTGTTACGAGTCAGAAAACTAGAGTGTGGGCCGTTACAGAGCATAAATCCTCACCCTTCTTCCTGCTGTATTTTGGGACCCCTACATCTATTGAGGACGTCCCAGCCAACCAATGCTCTCTTTACTTCCGGGTCAGTATCACGACAGAATATACATAGCATCAGTTCTTGAGAAACTCAGATGGATTTCTTTTCCATGTAATCAGTTGCCCTAATTGTAAGTGTTGCCCCATTTGAACCGTAATTTATGATTTGCTAGAACTAGAACAAAGAAGTTGCTCTCATTACAGTAAATAATGGGACTTTGAAATCACGAAAGGTAGGAATTCAAGTTTTGAAATTATAACTCAAGCTAGAAAAACAACAAGACTTCACATCAACTTTCATTATGAATAAGTAGCTTGCCATGGAGTTTGCTTTAAAAGACGTATTTGACATACGTTGATCAAGTTTCTTGACTCATAGTAATGGTAGCTTACTCTAATTACTACCTGCACTCAACGAAATACTGCAGGCAGACATTTACTCCTCATTTCATGACTTTTCTCTCCATTCGTATTTTTCACCAGCCGTCTGTAGCTGTAATTGCATTCCATGAACCATCAAATCTATCATGCTTTTCGGCAGTGAGCTTAGCCACGGGATGCCAGGTTAGGTCACAAATGCACAGATGTCTTTTTCTATTTATGCAGGAAGATATGCATCATATAGAGAGGCAGGTGAGATCGTCCCATGTGTTATTACATAATATGATTCATCCTTCACGCTCTAAGAGTGTAAAAAGTCGTCTTGGAATTTAATTTTCGCAAAATCTTCCAATGTGGGCATTTATATTCAACATCCTGATTTCCTGTACAATAGGTATATAAGCTGTAGTCAATCACAAAAGCGACATTCAAATCGTTTATTCTCTCCTGGATAAACGTAGCTGGCAAGATGCACCTTCTTAACGTTGCAGTGGTTGTAGTCTTGGGTAAGTCTTCTTCCTAAGCTTTGTAACAATCAACTGTACTAGTATTGCTGAGTTTCTAAAGTGGCTTTGCAATTACGCTGCCAACATTAGGATTAGCATAGTTTGTACATTGGTGCCAACGTTTATCAGGGTTGGAAAAGGAATGTTCTCTGTAGGAATCCTGTCACTTATGAGCACTTATGCATCATTTGATTTCTTTCCATTCTTCACAGTCTTCCTTGGGTCCGCCCTTGCTGGCCATGGTGGTGGTGGTGGCGGCGGCCATGGAGGTGGTGGCCATGGAGGTGGAGGCCATGGTGGTGGAGGCCATGGTGGTGGTGGTGGTGGTGGTCACGGAGGTGGTGGTCACGGAGGCGGAGGACACGGAGGTGGCGGCCATGGAGGTGGTCATGGAGGTGGTGGTCATGGAGGTGGAGGCCATGGAGGTGGTGGTCATGGAGGCGGACACCACGGGTAAAACATCCGAGGATCATCATATTGCCATCAGATGCTGGACATTTGATATCGTATTGGTCGATTCCACTCACTGTGATGTATCCACCCAATCTGTATATTCCTCATTGAATACAAATAAAGCTTTGAGTTATATTGTAATGCTATCTTTGTTTATATTTTCCTCCAGTACAATCAGATTCAAGACTGGAAAGTAAGAAAGGAAACTATCTGATAACACTGTCCTGCATACTATAATCACACTGGAATCATTGCCCACAAAGGTCAGGAGCATCGAAGAGATGCAAGTACTCTTATAAACACGTTGAAGCAAGCAAGTAGACTATTTCTGTCCCAAAATGTAGAAAGTCCCATTTGAAGTCAGACTATCATAATTGATTCAAAAGGTCCAAATAGTTTATAGTTACAGCCATGTGCATGTCCCGATACAACAAATTACATGTGTCTCAATGCACCCATGAAATGACGTTTACGTTAAGGGTTTATACACATCTCCAGTAATACAATGATTCGTTCTCAAGACAGCCAACTTCAAAACGATTGCAGTTGGTTTATTGTTTTGGGGGTTTGTTTGTTTGTTTGTTTCAAGAGTCCAGAGAAATATAAATGTTGAGGAAGCAGATTTCCTCTCAGATGGCCTCAGACAGTAGTTACGTACCCTACGTTTTACCATGGCCCGACAGATAAATAGGAGAATATAATCCCTATTTGAATGGAGTTTTGAGCGAGTAACATATATTTCTGAGTAACGTTTGACAGCTTTAATACAAGATTCGACATTGTACTTTGATAATAACATATGTTATTACCAAATGTGTATTGATATTTACTCCAGCTTCTCAGTATTTGAGTCCCAGATGAAAGGCGAAGGGTTCTATACACAGATACACACAGACGCACACAAGCACACACAAGCAGACATAGACGGAAACACACTTGCACACGCACACAAGCACGCACGCACGCACGCACGCACGTGCGCTCTACTCTAACACTTGCATTAACACATCCTGACTGGAGTTAGCTCCTTTCCAAAGGAATAGTTGCAGGGTTGACGTGATGTATTCCACGCCTTTAATTGTTACGAGTCAGAAAACTAGAGTGTGGGCCGTTACAGAGCATAAATCCTCACCCTTCTTCCTGCTGTATTTTGGGACCCCTACATCTATAGATTACCAACACTGCGCGTGGCGCCTTTACTTATCCGTTTGCGTCGTTCAAATTTAGTTCAATGATCTGAAAACATGGGTTTCTATCTTTAAATGAATTAAGAGAATGGTAAATAAAAGCAGAAAATATTTCCTGTCTACTACTTCATGCACCTTATTTCTCTGTACAATCAATGTAAACAAATCAATCACAGCATAACCTATTTGATCTTATTTGGAAATCTGTTAATTGGGCTTGTAAACAATATATTTATTATTTCCATGGACGTATCTGGACATACCCAGAAGCAAGACATTCAACAGCTGATCTGCAGCAACTCTCAGTAAAGTTTCTTCAAAATTCAGTACACCTATGATAAAATGACACTGAATATAAGGAAATCATTTTTTAATGATCATTTCCATTAATTTTTCTATAAGTACTTTCTTGTGGAATCCTAATTTACAAACAAACTTCCACAATACTGGACTTCATGAACTGCCAGCGTTTATGTACAGGTTATGTCACAGCACCAGAACACAAAGAATATCCAAGATCAGTCTGCACCTGTACACTAGCTGACCCATCTTCCAGAAATAGGAAACATGTGATGCAAAAATTTGGAACAGAGAATCCACAGTTATTCGAACAATTAACTAGCATTGAAATAGAATGTTACACAAAATACAAATGTAGATCTATTATTTTTTCATCAGAGATGTTTAACAGCTACCTACTAGTGTAAATAAGGTGCAAAGAATATATCCTATGTTCAAAGCCTTCTGTCAATAATAATTATTGTTTCTAATTAAACAATGATAATCTTGTTTTATTAGATCTGAGACCATATCCCCAGAGGACATAACACTGATTTTGATCTATTTCCTTTCTGAGATACTTACTGGTGTCATAAAAAATTATAGTAAAGTTGATTCAAAAATTTGGTAAAAGTCATAACAAAGGTTTAGGAAAACAGACATGAAAAAATGCCCTGATGCGTTCACCTCCTACAAACCAGTGTG